ATCTTTCCAAAAACGGAAATGGCCATAGGTGGCGCTAGAGAGCATGTTGGACAATTTGAACACATTGACTCCAGAATATCAAATTTTTCACCGATTCTGGAATCTGTGCAAAATTATACAACTTTCTCAGCATCCTAAAGGCCTGAAAATAAGCATTGAAATATGGAATAATAATAATAATACCACGAATAACAATAGGTATCCTTGCACTTCGTGCTAGGACGCCGTTGGGTCCTAGCACTCTCGTGCTCGGGCCCTAATAAGTAGGCTACCGATACATAGCAGAACAATTGTGGTGATGTTCAGCTTAATAAGCCTTGTTCAACATAATTTCTTTAGTTAATACTACAGCGGGCTGCAGGCGAACCAAGTCCTCGTTTCGCTGTATTCCTTGATCTCCAGTTATAACGCCGGACTTTGCTGCCGGGACGCTGGCGGGAGCTAACGCAGCTAGCTCCCTGCGGCTCCGTTAGCTCCGGCGGCGGACTCCGGTGCCACCACTGGGATAATTGGGTCCCCTTTTAACATTTGCTCCCGTTTAGCATTATGGGCGTCATAGCCATAGACTATAAAATTCTTACCCAAGGCTGAATCATAAACTGTATATATATATATCAAGTACAGTAACTACAACTAGCTAACGTTGTAGCCTAGCAGAGTGGACAAGTTGCTGTTAGCTAACAGTGAGGCACGTACCTGTCCATCAAAGTGACCATGTCCTAATTTATGCAAAAACTTTAAGACCTAATATAAATAAAAGGGTTGCGTTATAAAACAATTCACTCACCAATTAATAATCGTTAAGGTGGAATCCAACTATATCCCGAATAATTTTTATTGCATCCAGGGGTAGAAACATGTTTATTTCCGCTGTAAAGTTGGGCATTTTAAAATGGGGGTCTATGGAAATGTATCAATCAATCAATCAATGTTTATTTATATAGCCCAATATCACAAATGTTACATTTGTCTCAGTGGACTTTACAGTTTGTACAAAATATCAGTATGACAATACGACACCCTCTGTCCTTAGACCCTCACATCGTACAAGGAAAAACTTCCGGAGAAAACCCACAGTTTAAAGGGAAAAATGGGAGAAACCTCAGGGAGAGCAACAGAGGAGGGATCCCTCTCCCAGGACGGACAGACGTGCAATAGATGCCGTGTGTAAATTGAAAAGATAATACATTTGCAACATAGGTAGTCCAAATGTTTGGAAATGCATGTGTGTATAATAGGAGGATGAATCCACGAGGATATCCATCCAGGACCTATGATCCAGGACCACAGCCACGACTCAAGATCCAGGGCTCGCGATCCAGGACACAGGACCGCAGGATCATCCATGACTCCGGATCCCGGCGTATATAGACACCAAAAAGAAAGACATTTGGGGAAGCTGGGTTAATCGGAACATGAGAGTACACAGGTATAGACAGAGAGAAGGAAGAAGTAAGATGTCCCCCGACAAACTAAGCCTATATCAGCAAAACTAGGGGCTGGATCTAATCAGCCCTAACTATAAGCTTTATCAAAAAGGAAGGTCTTAAGCGCACTCTTAAAAACGGATAGGGTGTCTGCCGCCCGAACACAAACTAGAAGCTGATTCCACAAATGTGGAGCTTGATAAGTCATCGCCTATCGGCCAATAGATGAACTGCAGTTTGTGGCACTTCCTTATTGTCCTCCCGGCTCTGCCCCAGAGCTTGCCGCTTGGTGTGAACGCGATCTGCTCTTTAGTTCCGATGAACTAAGTACTGGGAACTAAGTACGGCAAAGTACTTGGTGTGAAAGCGCCTATTGACAAATTGTACTTTGCACAAGTTTTTATTAGATCATTTTTTAGTAAATCGATTATTTACACAATTAAGCACTTTATTTGAAGAATATGTACAATTGTTAAATATGTAAAAAAGTGTTTTTGCAAAAGTCAAAAAGTCTTCTTCTTTTTCTTCTTCTTCTCCTAGAACTTCTGCAGACTTGAGTCAGTGTGAGCATTATGACCGCTTGAAGGTTGGTGTTGTGTGAGCTCCAGCTGTGTGAAGAGTTAAAATAGCCTCCCGCATGCATGCTGGCATTAAATGGCGGAACAGCCCCTTTTAACCAGTCCTCATGTTAACCACACACACACACACACACACACACACACACACACACACACACACACACACACACACACACACACACACACACACACACACACACACACACACACACACACACACACCACACACACACACACACACACACACACACACACACACACACACACACACACACACACACAAACACACACACACACACACACTTTCCACATACTTGAGATTCAGTGGCTCTCCTCTCTTTCATGCTCTCATTAAACCTTGTGTTGAGCTCATTTTGGCTTTATGGGCACTTTCAGGGATGGAAAGGGTCCTCAGATCCTTTGCTTAGGTAACATTAGAAGTAATATGTCTTAAAATACACAAGTAAAAGTCCTGAATTGAGTGAAGAACTGAAAATCTTCAGTACTGTATATAAGCATAATGAGATAAATGTACCTCAAGTATCAAAAGTAAAAGTACTTGGCTGCATACCGGCTTTTTTTCTATCATCATATAGTATATTCAACTGTTTATATCAATAACAAAAACATGTCACATACTTTTTATGTTGTAGTTTGTCAATGTTGAGACCATTTTTTAACAATTAACTGTGTAAAACATTGGTTAGATAAGTTGTATATCATGTTGTCATATGTAAAAGTAATGATGACTGAATGTAGAACAACATTTGCCTCCAAAATATATAGTGGAGTATGTATAACATTGGAAATACTCGATTAAAGTTAATGTAATAATAATACATTTTATTTTAGACACCTTTCATGACACCAAAGGACACCATACGGTTTGTTAAAAATGCTAAGAGGCAACAGAGCATGATAAAAACACAAAGTAAGGCAGAATACTACTTAAGTACATGAGTAAATGTACTTATTTACATTCAACACTGGGTACTATTACCCCCTTTTCAGTCAGGACACCGAGCAGAGACATCTAACTGTTATGTGTGTCTGTCTTTTTGGTTTTTGATTGAAAGAGCCGGAGCAAATATGAAATATAATCCAGTGTCTCATTGGGATATTTCTCACAGTAACGCCGACGGGTTCAGTTTTATAAATCCATCCATGTGCGATGCAGCTGTTCCTAAAAGCTCTGAAGGATCTGACCTGCTTTTCATCTGAGGCTTTGGTTCAGTTTCAGACCTGTAGGAGTATTTCCCCATCAGTTCTGGGGTTTTATTTGGGCTAGTTTTCTCCATTTATTCTGGGGTTTCTTGGGTGTAACGGTGGAGTAAAATAAGAAAGGAGACGGTGCACAAAAAGACCTGTGGCTTTTAACAAGGGATGATGTATCATTAGAGGCAGAAATAAAATATATAAAAAAGTTATTTAAAAAAATCTGAATACTTCAAAATGTGACTTTGAAGTTGCCCCAATTAAAGAAATAAATATATTTATATTAAGACATGAAGTTAATGTTAAAATGCACACATTTTACTACAATATATTATGTTACATTACAATATATATAGTGTATTAAGATATTTTTGCAAATGAAGGAAATATGTTGATAATAGCTATCATCATTAGATTCATGACTCTAGCCTTAAATCTAAACTCAAACTATAACACTAATTCATTCCAGTTAAATAAAGTTGGTTACTGTTGGAAGTCTTCTTGTATTTCCCTCCCCTCCTGTGAGGACAGCAGGTCTGAATGCTGTAATCTGAGTGTAATCATTGTAATGCTCTTAATACAACTTTAGCCACTGTGAGTGTGAGATGTGCCTCTCCGCGCGCCAAACACTCCCCATGCTGACCACAGCGGGGGGCCAAACTGCAGCTGGGGACTCTACTCTGATACCTCCAGGGACCGCTCGTAAACCGCAGCTTCGAAAGTTGGAAGCCTCAGAAGTGATGTTCTTCCTTGGCAAGAAGGTTTTTAAGTCACGTTAATCATTATATTCTGGTTTTATGTTTCAGTATTTGTAAGCAACTGTGGCTGAAAGAATGTTGCTTTTATTGATCTTTTTTATGGTTATTTCATTTTTTTTTAAAAGTAGGGGCAGGTAAAATAAGATTCTCCCTGCTCCTTTCCACTGCTCTATAAAAAAAAATCAGTATACGTGTATATGTTTTGTAAAGTGCACATGTTTTGTTTTAAAATAACTGCCATGTGTGGAATAAACAAACAAACAAATAAATAAATAAATATATTATGCTTTTCTTATTGTTTCACTTGCATACATCCAGGGCCGTCCCTGCCTACAGGCCGATCATTCAGACTGCGTGGGGCCTCACCTTGATGAGGGGGCCTCATCTTGCGGAGGGTGCCTCAACTGAGCCGAAAATGCGGCGCACCTATGCGCGGCACGGCTCCACTTTATATTTGTATTTCGTATTTTTGTATTTTGTAATGTCCTGCCTTTTAACAGTAACTTCATAATTTTGATTGTTGGCTGCTCATTTAATAACTATTCATTTGACTAGTTTGTTGTCTGCTCTTGTGCGTAGTGAATACTAAAGAAGGCCACAATTGCGTGAGTGTGAAGGTATTACAAATAAATTGGTCAGTAAGTCAGAGATGTGCAACTAGATTTAACTTTTTGTTAAACATTTTTATTTTTATAAATGATTATGGGAAGTGCCCTTTTTCTCACTTGAGCTCCCGCCCCCAAAATATCTGTGCACGTCCCTGTGGAGGAGCTACACTGTAGCTTTGTGCATATGACAATCTTGAATCACCTGGCTGCTATCTCTCAAAACTGTTAGAGGTACTGGATGTGTATCTTCTAAATTATGTAATTTATACTTTTCTCTTTAACGTTTTTATGTATGCTTCTTAATTAGTATACATCTATAGTTATCTTTGGCTCTTTACTTTCTGTAACAGATCAACATTTCCCCTCTGTGGGACGAATATAGGTATTGTGATTTTCTTGCCCTTTGTCATTCATGTTGGACGTTCATCACTGGTTTCCCAACATTTCCCGAGCGCACTTGAACGCAGCACATGACCGAGCACAGAGGGAGAGAGAGAGGGATTGGGAGCGAGAGAGGGAAGGAGTGAGGGAAGCTAAACAGGTGGTCTGAAAAAACATAGAAAACAATGTCGTCCGGCGGGGAGAAGCGGAAAGACCTTTAGTCCTCGCTTCTCTGAAGGAATACAGCTGAACCGACACAAAACAAACCCATGCTCCTTTTTTTATCTCCACTCGGATTCCTCCTTCTCCTCCTCGTCCTCCTCTTCTCGGTTTTACTCCCAAGATCTCGGATACTAAAGCCATGAAAGTCACGGTGTGTTTTGGCAGGACCCGGGTGGTGGTGCCGTGTGGAGATGGGAATATTAAAGTGCACACACTCATCCAGCAGGCTGTCATGAGATACAAGAAGGCCATCGCTAAGGTAAGAAATGGTACTTTGTTTCCGTTGCTGCTTTTGTTTTCCTGGAAACAATGTTGCTACGCTCTGCACGCGCACTCAATATGGCGCTAACTTGGAAATAAATACAAACAAGATGGAAACGGGTTGCCTGTTTCTGTTGTTTTATGCACTTCTGTTCAGTTTTGGAGCACATATTCTCTGCATGATGGTGTAATTCGCTCGGTTTTCCAAGAAAGGCGCACCGCCATTGTGGTCATTGTGTTTGTAAACCCACAAAAGTTCCTCTGGGATTCTAACTGTGGTATGAACGAAGTATTTCGCGGTTTGTTGCAGCTTAAAAGCTTTGAAAGGGATGTTTTAACACACATGCTTGTAGACTTAGTTGTAAGACAGGAGTTCATGCCTCTGAAAGTTGCCAGGAGAGATTAGCCTACTAGCAAGTTAGCCTGCAAAAGTAGGGCTGCAGTGATGCGTTCAGGGGTCGGTTCAGAGCTTTGCAGCCTGATTAGAAAACAGGAAAGTCCTATCAGCTTTAGTATCCTCTTTGCTCCTACGTGTCTATGAGGAAATGCTTTTAAAATGCCTCTTTGTTCGACTTGTAATGAGCCAATGATAGTGGAAGAGAGGGTTAGCTGCAAGAAAAAGCATGTGAGTTAATGTAATAAATGATGCTTCACATGCAAGAGGAGGAAAAGCAAGAAGAAAGGCCATTTTCACAAGTTGTTCTGCAATATAGTTTGAATTAAAAGACTCATTTTCCAAAGAAGAAGCTGGAGAAAAGGTGCATGGCTGCCTGAGGCCCTGCAGGATGGGGAGGGAAACTGCTCCAGCTGACTGGTGGAGGCATGGAGCTGACACATACATCCTGGAGACACAAGTCAACCTAAGAGAACTTGCAGCATGGTGTCGGGGTAGCATCAGATAACCTTTGAACCAGGGTGGTGCTTTATGTGCAATGCTCCCTGGGAAGATCAGATAAGATTTGACTGGGGGGGGTTTCTAGGTTTTTTTCACACAACCTAGAAATATTTGCTTTTTCGCCCATAATTCAATTGAAATGACACATTTGTTGGCATCTAAAGCACTATATCTTACTCAGATTGCTACCGAATAGCCGCATGAATGTTAAATCATTTGGCTCAAAGTCTTAGTTTACATAATTCATCTCCACATTCAGACTGTATTATTAATAGGAAACTTGGATTACAGGAAAGATTCCCGGTTATTCAATACAATACATTTAGTTTGTCATCCAGCCTTTTTTTAGGGTACAAATATGTTAAGGCAGCAAGTTACAACTGATCAATACTTCACGCTTAGCCCTCCCATGTGCAAACTTTAAGGCAGTCTTTTTTGTTGTTGTAATGATAGTGACCTATAAGTCATATCCTGCTTTTGAATAATTCAGTGTGAGCAGAAAGGAGTGTGTTACTGAGAAGCAGAGGAAGAGATGAACCCTGCTGAACTACTCCCTCCGGCAGAAGAAACTAACTCTTATGTGACTTCATGCAAATTGGGATTTTACTGGTGTGTCCTCATAGCTTTCTGAGAAAAGTCAAGGCGTGTAAACCTTCCCTTGAAAGAGTTGAACGTTGCTGACAATGGCAATTTGTTCTTGTATTGCCCAGTTCAGCAGAGGGGTTCGTAAATAAAGGATTTTAAGTTACCAGTTGAAGTCAGTTTTGCATCTGGCTAGAAGCTCAGATTGCTATTGTATCTGGTTTTGGGGTAAAGTGTGCAGGATTGAGTCATCAAACCTGAAAAAAGTTAGCATTTAAGCACTTTAGTTAGCCTGCAATAAGGTATGTGGTTGATACAAGCTTACGAGATGTGGACATTTTGTTCTACGACATAAAATACGTCAGTAAATAACTGGTGAATGTTCGAAGCTTTAACACTTCTTAAAACAACAATTGCTAACAAGGGACTAAATTAGACTGAGCTTATCACGCTAACATTAGCCACCTTTAGCTTAGCGGTGGAGATGTGAAGTAATTCAACGGTGCTGTAGTTCCTTTATAGCGTAACGTTAAATCCAAGTAGTGTTAATATGTGGAGATTATCCTGCTGAACAAAACATGTAAATATCATGTGTGTTTGCGACAGGTACAATGGAGCGTGAGATGGGCCGGAGAATCGGAGCAGCGGGAGCGGTACTGCAGTCGCTTTACCGCACCGTTGTGACGAAAAGGGAGCTGAGCCAGAAGGCAAAGCTCTCTGTCTACCGGGCCATTTTCGTTCCTACCCTCACCTATGGTCATGAAGGATGGGTCATGACCGAAAGAACGAGATCGCGGATACAAGCGGCCGAGATGGGTTTTCTCTGCAGGGTGGCTGGTGTCTCCCTTAGGGATAAGGTGAGAAGTTCGGTCATCAGGGAGGGACTCGGAGTTGAGCCGCTCCTCCTTCGCGTCGAAAGGAGCCAGTTGAGGTGGTTCGGGCACCTAGTTAGGATGCCACCTGGGCGCCTCCCTAGGGAGGTGTTCCAGGCACGTCCAGCTGGGAAGAGACCAAGGGGTAGACCTAGGACCAGGCGGAGGGATTATATCTCTTCGCTGGCCTGGGAGCGCCTTGGGATCCCCCAGTCAGAGCTGATTGATGTCGCCAGGGAAAAGAAAGTTTGGGGCTCTCTGCTGGAACTGCTACCCGCGACCCGACCACCGATAAGCGGGAGAAGATGGATGGATGGATGGATGGTTTGCGACAGGTCTTATTTGCTGCAATTTTCCAAAATCAAATGGACAAATCCCATTGCTTTTTGTCGGGGGAACCCTTGCGATGCTAACATCCAGGTTTACAAAAGCTCGTAATCACTGCACCACTCTATAATCAGAATGTAGGAGAAGACTCAAACCGTAACGTGCTGCTGTTTATTGCTCAGGGTGTGTTCTGTAATGCGGCCACATATTCAATTCTCATTCTGTCTTATAGTAGCTTTGATCAAACTATTCAAACCCACGTTTTCTCATGAACTTTTCACCCACAACAAAACATTCTGCCTCACAATACAACATCCTCGTCGTGCAATCGCATCAGATCTGTGTTTATTGCTGTACTCCCAAGCTGCCTATATTTCATCAGTGGTCGGGCATTTTCGTGTGTTACGTCTAGCGGGTGTCTCACAAAGCATTGCGGTCACAGATGTTGTGTCGAAGATCACAGCCTTTTTATGGTCAGCCCGCCTTAATAAGAAGCCTACATTCAAGTTTGCTTTCCTGCTGTAGTATTTGTATGAACCGTCTTGTAACTTCCCCTGTCATTAGAGAGGAATGCTTCCTGCACAAAAACTGGTCCACTTCTGAAGGCCTTTAGACATCTCATAACTGAAATTAGACACACACTAGGATGCGCCACTGTTTGTACAAAACCCTCATGAAGAAACTGGACTTGACATGGATTGTTTTTTCCCTTCTTCAAAGTCTCTTGAGAAGTCAAACGGTGTCTGATTATCCTCCGCTCGTCTTGTTCCACAGATCGGAGGGTGGATTCTCACCCATTTGGCTAAGTGTGGCAAGCGTTTAAAATGACAGCCTTGACTGGAAAACCGTCTGGTGGTTTATTGCTCCTAACCCACAACCCACCTAAGCATGTCAGAACCATGATATGTGTCTTTTCTGACCGACTGTTCCTAATGCTCAGACGGCTCCAGGGGGATATCAGGTGTCTGCATTGTTGTGTCCACACCGCACATTTCCATTCATAGCTTCACACTGCTGGAGTTTCCTCCCGAGGAGTCTGGGCTATTGTGTACATATTTTAGGCAGACAGTCGACATGACTTTGACCTGTTGCAGATCATAGAAGCAGGATGTTTCTGTTGGTCTGGTTTACCAAGTGGTTTTCATCAGAAACTTGCAGTCAGATAAAGGGCTATGTTGTTCTTTTTGCTTACAATTTCAGTGTTGGTGAACCCAATAGGGATTGACTGTCAATATTTCCATTATTTGGTTGTTTTAATATCAGAGAATGTTCAGTATGAGTGAGAAATGCCCGCCAAAAGTCTCCAAAGCCCTAGATCAGGGATCACCAACTACATTTGTCCAAGGACCAACATTAATCCAAGACACACTTTCGGGGGCCAGCTGCTGCTTCTCTGTTGGACTCCGGTACTGCACATTACTCACGAGACGTTGTAAAACGGGGGGGACGGGGGGGACGGGGGACGGGGGACGGGACGGGGGGACGGGGGCGCACTAACCACTCCGCCAACGCCACAGTCACCCCCGGATGTGGCCCGTGGGCCGCCAGTTGATGGTCACTGCCCTAGATGGTGTTTTCAAAATTGAATTTCTTTCCGACCAACTGTCCAAAATCCAAACATATTCAATTTAGTTTTGCATTAACAAAGAAAAGCATCTTATTCTCACATTTAATAGCAGAAACGATCAAACTGTGGCATTTTTTGTAATGATATTATGATATCTTATTATTATTCCATACATTTAGTTTTATACACTGATGTTTCAAGAGGATGAAAACATTCTCTAAATCATTTTGATATGCTTACTGTTCCAACAGCAGACATGAAGAGACATTAATCCTATATCAAATTTGACAGGTCGAATAAATAATAATCAATCATCCAAAAGTAACCAACCTTAATGGGGCTCAGAAAAATCATCACATTTGAGTTAATCTTGTCCTAATGCCATTTCTCTGTGCTCCAGATATGACTCAATTCATTGCACAAATCACTTATTAATTAGTGTGCAGAAGCCTTTGATGGTGGAGCGGGCCTGGAGATAAGCAGTCCTACAAGTTGAGAGTTAACAGGAATACAGATCAACACGTTCGCCACCAGAGATGTGCCACATCTTCAAAGGAAAAGCTTCAAATTGGCCTTATTTTGTCTAAAAGAGCAACATAATTGCACTTGTTAAAAGGACATTGGAGTTTATGATCATGATGTTGGGTCACAAGTCCAAGAGTGCACAAAGTGTGAAGGCCAAAGGGTGTCGAGCGTTCACACTTAACAGACGTTCGCTCTCGTCGTAACTCAAACCTCATTCCTCTACTCCTGCA